TAGAACCATCAAGCAATGCAACACTATAAAATGTATAGTTGTATTGCTAGCTGATTATAAATTAAAAGATTATCAATTTGCTCGTTGTCATGGTCTCCAAGGTGGGGATTGAGATACCTAACAGTAGGGATCAATGTCCCAAAAGTTAAAATCGAGATTCCTTGAAGATCCTTTTCCTGAAGCGCTGGAGTGAGATTCTAGAGTGGGATCGTCACCTAGGAGGGAAGATCCCAGCAACTATGGTAATATTCTCTTTAAATCAGTTTCTATATCTATAGTAGAAAAGGGTGACTCTTGTCTTAATTCTATTCCAAACCCTGTTACACCGTTAATTGAGGAGTTTGTAGACGCTATGCCTAAGGAGTTGCCTAATGGTACAAGATCGCATTGATTTGTCCCTAGTGCTACTCTTCCTAACCTGTCATATTAACAGTATGAGTCCAAAAGACCATGAAGAACAGCATCGAGAACTAAAAATTTTAAATAAGGGGTTAATTCAAGAGAGTTCATCTATGTTTTGTCGATACCCTCTATCTCCAAAGAAATATGGTTCTTGGAGCATGAGTGTGCGTGTGGATAGTACGGGCATCAATAAGATTACAGTCAAGAACTGCTTTCATATTACCTGTCTACATAATATGCTTGATGGGTTGTCATTGTTTCCAAATTTGATGGATAAGTGGATATCATCAGATTCAAAATCTCCCTGAGGATGAGTGGGAGACAGCTCTTAAGGCTCGGGAGAATTTGTATGTTTGGCTTGTGATGTCATTTGGATTGTCGAATGCCCCAAGTACTTTTATGAGAGTTACTAACCAAGTGCTTTGCCCTATTCTTGGTAAATTTGTGGTACTATATTTTGATGACACTCTTATTTACGGCTCTGGTGATATTGAGAACTTGGACCATCTAAGGCAAGTTTTGGAGCGAGAATAGCTTTGCAGGGAGAAGTTATTCGTGAATCTTCAAAACTTGTTCTTTTATGACAGACAGCTTGGTATTTATGGGATTTGTTGCTTTAATCAAAGGGATTAAAATTGATCAAGCTATGGATTGATCTACACCAAAAAACACGAGAAGTGAGAAGTTGGTTTGTCTACTTTTTACAGGAAGTTTATCAAAAATTTCAACTCTATCATTGCACCTATCACTAATTGCATGAGGAAGTATTTGAGGGGGCAAGTGTAGCTGAAGAGAGCTTCAAGCTTATAAAAGACAAGATGACTACTGCTTCTGTTTTGGATCTCCTAGGTTGTTTTCCAAGTAGAGTGATGCTTTGCATGTGAGTATTGGGGTTGTCCTTAGCCAAGAAGGTAAGGCCATAGCCCTTTTCATGAAAAGTTGCATAAATCCAAGACTCAGTGCTCTACTTGTGCCATGAAATTTGATGCTATTATGCAGGCATTGGTGACATTATCTCATCCAGAATTCCAGAGGGAGTTTATCTTTCATAACATGAGGCGTCGAAATTTTTTAGTGTTCAAGAAAGGTTGAACAGGCGTCACACGAATGGATTTCCTTATTTGTAGAGGCTTTCTTTTGTTATTGGCATAATTGGGCGGTAGAAATAACGCGGTTGATGCATTGAGCAGTTGATGCATTGAGGAAGAGATCTTGCTTTCTTGAGATTTCATTGGTTGGATAGTGAGTCTTCCCCAATCAAATGCCACCAACCTTTGCTTAAGGAAGCCTGCTATGTATTCTACAGGGGTCTCTTCGAATTCAAAGCATTGGCGAGTTGTGTGGGGAAGCATCAATGGACACTTAAGGCTAGACAAAACCATTCCCTGGCGCATGAGAAACATTATTGGCCATGACTCGAGAAAGATGTTAGCCAATATGTAGAAGGATGTAGGGCCTATCAGCTAATCAAAAGCTCGTAGCTTGTACTTCCCTCTATCAATTCGTACCGCGTCATGACAAATGCCAGTATGGACTTTGTGATGGAACTTCCTAGGATCCATACTTGTGGTGGTGGATCATTTCTCGAAGATGGAGCACTTTATACCTTGCAAGAACACTCTTGATGCAAGCATGTAGCTAAATTGTCCGTTCAACTACATGGAATTCCTAAGGCCATTACTTTTGATCAAGTTATGAGGTTTATGGCCATTACTTTTGATCAAGTTATGAGGTTTATGAAGCACGTTTACTGTACCCCAAGGAAGGCGTTAGGCACATGGCTCCAGTATAGTAATGCTTGTAATCCCCAGACTAATGATCATACCAAAGTTGTTAATAGTATGAATCTATTAAGGAGCCTCGCATGAGATAAGCCTTCATAATAAGATCAAATTTCGCCTCAAGAAGAATTTTCTTATAATAGCATAGTCAATTGATACACAAGAAAGTCAACTTTTGAGACAGTGCATATGCAATTACCCCACAAAGTGCTATATTTGGTTCCTCTACCCAAGAAAGAGAAAGTAAGTGATGATGTTGAAGACTAAACTGAACACCTTCAGAAGGATGCCTAAGAAGGATGGTGAAAAAATCCAAAAGACTCTCCTCATTCAGACCATTACTCCCCCCCACCCCACCACCCTAGTTAATCCTAAAGTCCATATTTGGTCCAATGGAAGGGAAAACTTGAGTCATAGATTTCATGGACTTTAGAGGAGCACTTCCCTAGTAGTACATATCTGGAGCTCAAGTATAAGAAAATTGGCCCTCGTCGAGTGATCTAGAAGAATAGTAACCTTGTAAGATGAGCTTCCAAAATGGTATGGAGCCTCTCCTATCTCTGATGGAGAGCTTGTTGATGCAGAAGTTGTTAAGTGGTACCTAAGCAGGGGGAGAGAAAATCCAAAAAAAAAATTACATTTGAACCATTACTTCCCGTTAATGTTCATATAGTCAGTAGTTGGTCCAATGGAACCTTGAGCCATAGAATTGATGGAATTTAGAGGCGCTAAAGCAAACTGATGAAGAAGCATCGAAGAAATTCACAGATGATCAGAACTCAAGGGTGAATTCTCTTTAACCAGGTGAGACTCACGCAACAAACTTCCCACGCATATTTTGGCCAAATTAGTTGGGCAAAATCTGCATTATAGAACTCATGTTACCACTTCAAGAATGGGGTCATAATAGTTATTCTGACATCAAAACAAAAATCAGGGCTTCTAGATGTTACACTACCACTCAAGATTTGTTTTCAAGACAAATTTATCTTATCTTATTTTTTGAAGGACAAAGGTGTCCTTACGAAAAAAGTAGAAATTACGAGTTCAACTTATACTAGTAGGATTTGTTAAAGTTCAAGCTAAGATATTAGAATTAGGATTTCTTAATATTCAAGCTAAGTTTTGATCATAAATATAGGTTGGTATAGGCTTTTGCTTTCAGAGATTTGGATACTTTGCTTGGTATTTCCTAGTTGGAAGCAAAGGACATTGGAAGCTTGGCCTAAGCTTCAACGGTTCAACCTTTTTATTTTCAATCAAATTATCAAACTTTTGGGAGTCTTTTCTTTGTTTATTCAATTTTGCATCACAAAGGGAAGACCATTTCTCATATTGTTTTACAACCCGAGTTTTGGAATGGGGTGGTCTCCTCCCACCAAGCATTTGATCATTTGGGGGTGAAGATGTTGCACATGGTAAGAACCACCCATGGGTCATATTCACAAAGCAATGGAGGTTCTAAGAACAAGATATATTAAAAAGAAAAAACTATGGGTATCATGAGAAAAAAGCATTTACCCCTCGTTCATATTTATATAGGCCTTTGCATGCAACAGCGTATTTTCTCAACCGTGCTTCCTTTTTTTTTTTATTATGAGATTGATTCCAAGGGGTTGCATCATGGATAGTTTCAATAAGTACAACATGACAACCCCAACATGGAACACCAAGACCTCATAAAAATGTCGTGAATTTGTTTAAGTTCTCATAAGAATCTCTTGGGACAGATAGTTCAATAAGGCAGAGGGTCAAACATCATCCACATAATCTTCATAGTTTCTCATTATGACTTTGTGAATTGAGTAATTGATTTACATAATTGTCAAGTAGTAATATAGCTATATGACAATACTACATTACTATTATAATTATACTCTTTTATGATTATAATTATACTCTGTTATAATTGTCAAGCACTTTTATATCAACCTGACTGTTGAGAGATATGGATAATTTCAGTGAACGGCTGGTTGATGCTGGAAATGATCATGCCATCCTGATAGGGAGTTTGAGTTGGGACCAAGTTCATGAAGCAGCTGGAAACGCATCGAGCCATGTTTGGGCCACTAGATCTTCTAGGAAGAGCTTGAGAACATTAGAGGAGGAGAAGCGGACAGTCAGAGGAGATAGAGAAAGAAGAGCATTATGTCAAGGAGGAGAATCATTCCGATGGTGATGAGTTAGCATCAGATGAAAGGGATAGTAATGATGGAGATGGTTATACTCGTGATGAGGATGTGGACCTTGACGATAAATCTCAATTAGCAATTTGGCATTTAATTTATTGCCTCATTGTTTTTGTGATAATCCATAAGTCTTATGCAGCATATGGTCCATAATCCATATTCACAATGTTGGATGAATGGAAGTGAGTGTTATTTTATTTCAAGTTCAACTTTCAAGTTCAACTTTCAAGTTCAACTTTCAAGTTTGCGCAAGTTGCAATCTTCTAGATTTCTGTTAATTCAAGTTTTGATCTTCTAGGTCTCCAATAATTCAAGTTTTAAACTCTTGTATGCATATACAAGTCAAAAAAAACACATGCAAAAAGTCTAATATATGTTTTATTTTGAAACAAAAATCATATTTTATTATAAGAGATAAAAATTGGTAAGATCAAGTCTAATATTACAACTTAAAAGGAACTTTTGACTGTAATATGAAAAATGGACTTTCAGCTGAAAGAAGTGGATATGAAGTAATATGTATTTCATTAATGGAATTAGTTGAGTTCAATAAAATATTTTTCCATATTAGATATGAAATCTTCATCAAACTGCATAAAAGACACATCAAGAGATATACTATACTTACAGAAAGACAGCGTTCTGTCCCAGCAGGAATTGGATACCCCATTTTTATCTCCAGTAAATCCACCTACAATATTAGAGTGCATGTGTAAATCAGGACATGTAAAAAGCTACAGATGCAATAGTTGGTTTACCATGATCATAACAAAAGAAAAATAGTGTTAAAAGAAAAAATTGGATTGCAAATTATTCACAAAGATTTATATAAATAAACTGAATAAATTTGCCTATAAAATTTTCTTTCTGAATAATTCTGAATGCAAAATTTCCATCTTGCGACAGTGTTCAGACTATTATTCTGCATGCAAACGATCTTCAGCAATATTACTTTACATGTTGAACTTTCTATGAGAAACATGTAGCAACAAAATATTTAATGATACATATAATCCCTATCACTTAAAAATTACCACTCTAATACATTAAACATGACAGTGAACCTGATTCTTATGACAATTTCCATTTCTTTCAACTTGTGGATTCAGAGAAGGGATTGACCTGGCAGAATATCAGGCCGGAGTGAACGTCTAATGAGTAGTGGTGGTTGAGGATACAAACGCAGAGCCTCCACAACACTATGCCTAATATACCTGAGAATTGGAACGTATATATAGTCATAATTTGCTGCAGATACAACATAAAATTTCCACAACACAGCTCAGCCTCATCTTAGCATAAAAATATGTACTGCAATCATGAAGTTAAAATTATGCAGTATGCTAGGCAGTACAAAACAGAGGCATAGGGATGAAGTATATAAATTTCGACTATTAGATGCCCAATTATGTCACAGAATCTAGAGTTAGAGGGTTGTACATGATTATGTAGAATGACTCATATCACTACGACAAGTTGCCATGACAATATAAGAAGGGTTTCTTCCACGATATTTAGTGCTGCCATGTTATTCATGAAATATCCTTGTAATCATGATTCTCTTCAAAACAATTTTATGATTTTGTTTTAATTCGTAAAGTAACATTCAATCATTTTAATAATTGTTAGATACACAAAGGTGCTGCAATGGAGAATTTGCAAATCAAACCAAGTGTTCAATTTCCTCTGATTCTTATGAGAAAGAAAATTTGGTCAAGTTTTTTTTTTCTTTTTCGTTTTTTTAAATATTAACGGTGGGAATGGAGGGTGAGACATTACGTTGAGGCATCCGCCTTCCTAACCACTGATGCCCCAACCCCTTTCCCAAATTTGATCAAGTAGTTTAGAGTGGATTTGATTTACTTCACTCTGTTCCATTACTTCTATCCCAGATCTTGCTCATCCTTATTTGCATAAACTAGAGCATCTCAAGATTTCAAGGGAACCATGAGCTTCATGAAATAACACATCCTCTTCTATCCTCTCTCAAGTCTGCTTATCTAGCCTTCTTGGGTACCAAGCTTCTCTGACCTCCTTGAGCCTCCCTCTTTCAACACATATGATGGAGTTTCTTATAACGTGATCTTGATCTGCAGACTATGATTCAGTGCCACTTTCTTGACAGAAAACTAGGACCTTAAGGAACTCATACTAGAGTCCCTAGATGACATCATGGAGTTCAGACAACTATGTCCTTTAGGAGAAAGGTTAACAATTAAGGCTGTTAATAAGCTCAGGCCGTGCCAGCCCGAGCTTGAGCTCGAGCTTGGCGAGGCTGGAAAAAAATGGCCACGGCCCTATACAATTATGGGAAAATAGTTGCTTATTACATGTAATATACTCAAAAAGATTTCCCAATGCTAGCCTACGCCCAACCTGAAAATGTTTTAGGCCTGCAAAGCCCATCCTCGAACCTTAGAATAGGGCCCGTACCAAACCAAAACACGGCTAGTCTCAAAAGCCAAAGGCCAGGCTGGGCCAGGTAACAGCCCTATGGAACAACCTGTAGATTCTATAGTAACTATAGGATCTTGTTTGGATTCCATTAGTCATGCCTTAGTCCATCATACACACAAGTAGACAAAAATATCACAATTGCAAAGATAAATGGTGTCTACCTAGAATTTGTTTGTAAGGTGAAAATGATGGGAGACATAGTCAAGACCCCATGTGAAGAAAATCCCATCAATATTTCTTATTGTTAAGCGAAAGCTTGATCAATAATGTTCAATGTTGAGCCATGGTTCAGCATGTCCCTTTTGGAGTAAATCATCTCAAATGCCCTATGTTGGAGCCATTGCTAACAATATCCTGTTTGGAATAAATCATCTCAAGATCTAGAAATACCTTCTTCAATCTATAGAAAGCCCCTACAGAGACTGTCTAACATGCTTTGTCCTTACCTGAGTTCACATGCGCATAGAAATGAACTTGGCTAAATCACGTTGACTTACCAAAGTTACAAAAGGGAAAAAATTGACCTCACTTTTCTAAGGGTTTACAATCAACTACAATTCCTTCTCTTTAACAACTTATGCCCACTATGTGTCCAGAACATATTATGTCCAACAAGCAAGAGCTTGGAAAACCAACTCATGGGGCTTGTTCAACTTGTAGATTTCCTTTCCAAGCACAGACCACCTATTTTGAGATCTATTGGGCCAATAGACAATGCTAGCCCTTGCTTCTTTGAAAGAAAATAATATGTGAAATCCCAGATGAAAAACTAAACCCAATAAACATGGATGTGAAGTAGAATGAATTTTATGGGGAAAAAAATCCAATAATCTACTTACTGGAAAATTAAAGAGGAACTTTATAAGTCAGGCTCCATTGGCTCTACAGCTATTAAACCAGAAAAAGAAAATCTCGAAACTCAAGACTCTACGGAAAACACCCTATTAGAACTCCTATAAATAATAACAAACTTTACTTAGAACCCAAGAAATCCTAATTTTAATGAAAATAAAAATCAAGAAAATCTCAAAACTCAAGACTTTATGGAAAACACCCTAATAAAACTCCCATAGATAATAACAAACTTTACTTCGAACCCAAGAAATCCTATTTCTAATAGAAATAAAAACCCCAATTAAAATAAAATTTGTAATTACATTTTTACCCTAGGTAAAACAAATAATTCGTTTATCACTTTTAACCACTTTTCTAAACAACTCCCAAATTCTAAAAATAAAAATCCCTAGAATACCTAAAAACTAAAAATATCCTAAAAACGTACCCAAGAAAATTTCAAAAATAAATTTTTAAAATTAAACACGAAAAATCCAAAAATAAGAGGCATCTTGTCCTACATCAAGACGCGAAAACTAACGGGCAACCACAAAAACATGTAATACATAGAGATAGAAGAAAAAGAGATATGGAAGGAGATTGGCAATAAAGTTAATGGCCATGGCGTTCACCATGTCTTAGAACTCTTATGCCCTAGTGTGGAACAGAAAAGGCTCTAGACCATCACCCAGTCCCAATATGGCTAAAACGTTCAAGTGTAAATCTACAAATCTTTAGTATGTGGACTACCTCTATCTTTTGCTCTTTCTCTATTCAACAATAGAGAATCTATTACTTGAGTCACACAATCCATGAAAAATTTCCTTCTAAGCCATTCTAAAAGAGAGTTTCTAGAGGTCCCAGATGTTAACCTAATTTTTTATGGAGTCCTTCCAATAACTATCATTTGCAAGTTCTATACTACTGCAATGAGGTAGTGGAATTATCTTACTTAAAACTTACTGCACAACACCTCAATAATTAACATATACCACTTTCTATCCCTTAATCCTCAAGTATAAAAAAATAAAAGGGTATTTTTTCGCACAAAATATTTTGTGCTGAAATTTAATGCAAGACTCTTTTGTACTCTCATAAAATGCAACTAAAAAATTTTGTGGCCTGAATTTCGTTTTTTTGGAAATTTAGAGAGGCTTCAAAGAAGCCATGCATGAGATCATTCCACATAATCCCATCCTTTACAAGATGGTTCCACAAATATCCACAAGCCTAATTATTTGCAACTTCCTCTAACAGTGTCTTTTCTTCATCCAGCTTTAGAAGGATCCTAAGCTTTGATCCTCACACATCCAACTAAAATCTATCAAGGGATCTCAATCCCTTTCAGCCACAACATACAATAGAAGAAACCTAGCAAACTAAACACCTATGGATACTTACTACGTTACAGCTTAGATCAGTACTGACCACTCATGGTAGTCCAATAATTATAAATGTTTACTGCCGAATTTCCAGGACTAGGATGGATAGCCCTACCTAAGAAAGCTTCTTTCCTCTATCTTTATAGAGTAATACCTTTACAATCCAAATTTTAGCCAAGCATCTTTATTCTGATATCCTCTTCCACAATCCCAATCACAAGTGGCTTACAAATGGATAAAAATGTTGAATACTTGTATATACAACAACGAAGGACAAATGAAGATACAAGGGCCCCTCTGAGTACCAATTATACCTCATTAGATACCTCGAATCTTAGTCCTCATAAAAGTCTTCACTAGTTTTAAAGCGTCCTTCAGCACCTCCATTTTTACCCAAAAAGTCCTCAAAATAAATTTCTCAAACTCTATATCTCAGAATTATGCCCTCTTCAATAGTGGTTCTTCATTAAGAAATCACAAGCCATAGTTTGATTTGACATGTTCAAGTATTTGATTCTTCCATCCCAAAATTCATCATAAAACAGAACCCACTCATTCTATTGCTTTAGGGATTACATGTTGAAAACAGAAGACGCAAACGCTCAAGGATATCCTGAGGTCTCAAGACAAGATAGAAGTTGAGGAATTATTTGATCAAAAAAGAAGTTTGGGAACCTAGTAAGAGAGGTTTCTCAAAAATATATGAGAAAATGAAATCATGGAAAATATCCAATGTTTACTAGGTCCTTTAGGTAATGTTTCTAATTTGTAATATTCATTATACTTAGAAGTTTGCTGCATCTTTAAAAACAATAACATATATTATATATAGTTTCAGTTCAAAGACAAAGGATTCCCAACAAGCAATGTAGGTTGATCTTCAAAGATTAGTCACCTACTCCAAATTCTTGAGACTTTCAAAATTCAATCCACTTGATTGAAGTACAGCATCAATCTCTGCTTGAGCCTTCCTCATTTTGGAGGGGTGCTGCATAGAAGCCACAATAACTATTAGGAATAATATGCTAATAACCACAAAATAAGAAAACAAATATACAAGTGATTTTCAAGGCATATTGACATGCTTCACCAAAAAAAAATTTAAAAAACTTAAAATAACAAAAAGGGTTGGTTACACGCATGCGCAAGTAGAAAGATTGTCCATGTAAGAACTGCTGACATAGTTTCATGTCCAGCAATGAGCAATGTCATCAGATCATCTCGAAGCTGTAGGGGAATGCTGGTTAGATTTAGTAAAAGATTACTTGTCCCAAAGTAAATGAAAACAAAACCACATAAGATAATAATCTGAGCACAGCATTACAATTGCATTATGATGTTTAATCCCCTTTCAGAACTTAATTATTAACATATGTTAGTCTTCATGCAACAAGGAGTTCTATTCCTTTTACAAGGAATTCCCTTCTTACCTGGACATCATCAACATCCTCCCCCCTTACATCAACAAGGAACCTCAGTAAACTTGCATCCTGGTAACAAAATCCCAGAGTGAGAAGCTGGAAACTCCAATAAATCCCTTTCAAGGCTGCTTCCCGATAATGCAGTTGTCATATGTACATACTAATACAGAGGTTTGTTGACGATTTAGCCCTCGCTCTTACAGGCCTACATTCGCACATAGGAGACCACACAGTTCTTTTGGCCCAAAAACCATCTTTAGGCATTTCTCAAACCTCAACAAGGGATGATCCATTGTAAACTCTATTTGATAATGCCACATACACAAGGGTAAATGTTTTGGTCATGACCAGAGCAATAGACCGCCTAAACCTTGGTCAGTCAAATAATATACATTCCAAGTGAAGTGTATAATCCACTATAAATGTCTTTTTACATGATCTTGTGGCTTTTAAAAGCCACAAACCCCAACAAGTTCCCACCAACAGCTCTTGCAGCCATCAATTGGAAGTATGAAATGCTCAAAGAAAAAGGAGAAGTGAATAACCGCAAGAAATGAACTTGATGTGAATCAAAGGCAAGAATAGTAACAAACAACAAAATATGCAAAAACTAACAGTACGTGTACTTAGCAATTTCTCAAAAAAAAGATCCTTCAGTTTTCAACTTGAAAGCACACAAATACCTTCAAATCCTTGCTGGAAAAAGGAGAACAGCAGTTCAATAGAAGGAAAAGACAAGTCCTTGTGCACCAACTTGTTGCGACAATGTGAGTGAGGTGATCCAGAGATTAGGCTTCAACATCTTCAATTCTAATCTCTCAAACCCAAGCTAGTTGGAAACCTTGCTCTCAAAGTAACCTTCCAAAACCAAAAGTTCTTTTTTTCGCCTGAGGTAGAGATTTAAAACACCAAATGAAAGCTCTAGAGGTTCCTACAAAATTTTAGCCATCCATTTAGTCTAATCTCAACATTAAACCATAACTAGTTAATATCCTTCACATAAAATTAAATCACCATAGTCCAAAATGGTCCCAAAGCGCTTTACACACTAGAAAAATCCCGAAAGAGAAGGAATAAGAAAGTAGAGTTGCCCTTTCATGTTGCCAACCCAGTGTTTTTCCTTCTTTCTTTTTTTTTGCCCCTTTGTTTCAATGACTCGACGCCTTTTTTTTGAGTCAATAATTGAACCCCACCTTCTCAGTTCTAACGTTCTTTTTCTGCCAAAAAAAATTCAAAGATACATGCAATTACTACCATTCCTCACTAGAACAAGAACAAGAAACCTGCTCACCACAATGTGATGTGTACTTAACATTGCAAACTCCACAATTGCAATCCAGGCACCATCTTTTGTTTCTCAATTCCCCTCTTCAACTACAAATGAACTTCTCTGTGATAATAAATCTATCATACTAGAGAAATTTATTTCACTACCTGCCAATATGCTCAGTGACAAGTTAGTAAAACATCACCTGCATGATACCCAATTTATTTTTCTTTTTAAAATCACATGGTGCAATGCCCAATGAACAATCATTCACTTCGAGAAAAATGGAATTGGTAGGCAAGCTCTAGAGCTTTGTCCTTATCATTCACGACTAAAGTAGATTGGTACCTAAAGCATGGAAGCCTATTTCCATTTCTTTCTTGGAAAGCTCTTGTCATCTTTTGCTTTTACATCACCCAAAGATGTCAAAAGACCTTAGCTTCAGCTTCGCAGTTTGACAAAAGGATGGCTATAATTTCCAAACTATTCCTAGGCCCTTTATGTTCCTTGAGCAAAGTCAATCAAGTTACGGCATCATCAATTTGCAAAGATCAAAATAAAAGAAGTGTCATCAATTTGCAAAAAGTCAGAATGTGGGATAGAATTTCCAAACTATTCCTAAGCCCACTTCATGTTCCTGGAGCAACATCAATCAATTGACTGCATCATCAATTTGCAAAGATCAAAATAAAAGAAGTGTCATCAATTTGCAAATATTCAAAATGTGCAATAGAATCAAGTCGTCGTCATCATCATCATCAAAGCCTTATCCCAACTATTTGAGGTCAGCTACACGAATCCATTTCTATCATTCCTCTCTGTCAAGGTCATACCCTCAATCAAGCCATAAGTCAGCACATCTCTTCTCACTACTTCCATCTATGTCCTTTAGGGCATTTCCCTTAGCTTTTTAAAGCTTTCCACTTGAATCAAATCACCCCTCGTAACCAATGTTATTCTAGGTCGACACTGCACATGACTAGACCACCTAATTCTATTTTCCCTCAATTTATCGCCTATTAGAGCTACCCCCAAGTTCCTTGGAATGTATTCATTCGAATTCTATCCTTCTATGTCTTGCCACCCATCCATCCTAACATTCTCATCTCAGCTACACTCATTCTATGGATATGTTGTTTCTTGACTACTTAACATTCAATCTCATAAAGCATGGTTGGTCTTATAGCCATTTTATAGAACTTCTCCTTCAGTTTCATTGGCATGCGACGATCACAAAAGACTCCAGAAGCGCATCCCCACTTCGTCCACCTAGCTCTAATTCTATGAGCTGCAATAGAATCAAGTAAATAAGATAAAAGTAGAGATTAATTAGTTGCTTCTATTATTATAGAATAAAGGACACTATTAATGGATAGTCATTCCAACATGATACAAAATTACAATACCGTTGCCACTCTTGTACAGTGTTAAGATAATGTCCTAATATGTAAATAAAAAATCCAACATAGGAAATATCTAAAATAAAGAGTAAGAATCAAGCTGCCAAATGAAAAGAATAGGAATAAAAAATACAAACAGGCTTAGATTTCTTTAAAAATTATATGCAGAATAGTTCCTCTCAAAAAAACGAAGCAGATAGATACAAAACTGATGTACAACCTTGATAATCGGTGATTCTTTTGTTACCGATCTGAAGTCATAGTTGAACACGCCCAACCCAATAATATCAAGTGCTAAACTTGAAAACTCAACTTCAAGATCCACTTCAATAAATTGCCCTTCAGACAAATTATCTCCATGAAACAAGTCTTCAAACTTCACCATGGTGCGTCCTGTGCATCCTTTGAATGTTTTGACCATGGCCTCTAAGTACATAACATGAAAAGCAGGAGCAATAGCTGCAAGTATGATGAAGACCGCATTAAAAAAGTTTTTTATTTTTCCTTTTTTTTTTATTTGGTGGCATCAGAAATGTTTTCTTCTACAAGCACAAAAGAAAAAATATAACAGGCCACAACAGAAAAACATGAATAAAGAATGTGAAGATTAGAATAAGCATATATACCAACACCAAATTTCTTGCAAAGTACAAAAAAACATTATGGAACAAATTTCAGTCCACAGAATCTTCTGCCAAAATCCATACTAATATGAATTTATACAGGCCATAGTGAAGCATGACACAGAGGACAGCATTAGAACAAGAGACAAAGGACTTCAAAGAGAGGCTAGAAAAGTAAATTAGAGATACTCGTCAAAATGCACCAAATATCTCATACTGCAATAAAGTACTCTGAGAAATTTTTATTCTTTTCGGTCATTCAACTCTTATGAGAAAATTAGAGTTGTGCCAGGAATTGCTCTAGTTGCCTTGAAGATGGATCATTGCTCACATGTAGTACAAAAGGTAACATGAAACCTCAGTATTCAAGGTCGTAGGTATTATAACCTAATGAACAATGAGTAGTGATAGCAGTTTGACATCCATCTAGAAATGGTAACGGGTTTAAAGGCCTCATGAGCCATCTCTCGTTTACAAGCTCATAGTAATCATAGGATTTATGCCATGATACATCTTGAAGAATTCAGTTATTGCCAAGAATGGTGGACAAAATGTGTGGCTATCAATGTAAAAGAATACAACATAAGTGGCCACAATCAGATGTACGTAGCTTTCTTCCAACTTTTTGGAATATGCGATTCACAAATGTCAAATATGAATACAGTCACAAGATTAAGAAAAACGAAAATTAGCATTGAAGAAATAAAATGATCGACTGGATTTCATTCATAAACAAAAAAGACAAGCATTTTTCCATCTTCCTATCCAGGTAATCCCTTTCCAATCTCAAGTCATGCCCTAATTTCCTGCCACCATGGTTCTCTGAAATGACTCTTCCACAAATGACTGATTACCGTTTAACATGATTCCTCCAATATTATCCTATGGAATGGGCAAAGCTATTAAAGTTTTTTTTATCAGTCAGATTCTTGCATTTGTTGATGGTTAACAAACCTATGGTTGTTCTCACTTTTCAGTGATAGTAAGTCAGCTCATGTAAAGCACGCATAATATCATGGGACTGTACCAGCCTAAATGCCACCAATTATTTGACATGCAATTCTTGGGATCATTAACACCATGTGCCTGTTACTACCTCCATTCTTGCCTATTTAATTTACCTTGAACCAGGCAGCAGCTCCCTTCGGAAATCTCACATGATCTTTTTACTTTTCAAAGAAGTGAGACAAACCTCAAAAACTGCACATCATGCTTGTTACTGCAATTCATTTCTTATGATCTCACCTGTTTTAAAGCTCCAACCAACAAGTTTTCAAATACTAGATAACTATTTTCTGATGACCAACAAAGCTTTGCTTATGTTCCAGTGGATCTCTTGGCAATGAAGAAAATTGTTTGTTACATGCATTCACTTAATTTACCCTAACTAAACTTTCTGAAAAATGGCTGATTTCAAATACACAATGCAGTGACTCCTACGGTCTTGTCATCTCCCACTCAAAGCAACTTTGTCACGTAAAATAATACAAAGCTTCCCACAATCAGATGAACGGGCAAAGCCAAGAGTAGCTATTCTCCCCAGCAAAGGGACGATGAGCCTGAGAGGAGCATCCCCATTCCACATGTCCAAGAAAACCGCCTGATTAAAATTCCCAAGAAAAAAGCAGCATTCATTTGAACTCTATCCATCAAACCTATGCTTCTCCACCCATCCGATACCCTATCGTGGCTAATGAATATTACCCTTGGAGCAAAATCATGTTGCAGGTTTTTGACAATGCTACAGATATAGGATTTGATTTTGTAAAATTCATCCCATTGTAATGAGCATAGGTGAACACAAAGATGGTGTAATGCTAATGAGCTGTATAAGTATGAATTGGTCATCACAGCTAAAGGACCAACGCAAAACCAGAAAGATAAAGTGTAAAATAGTAGGCAAAAATCGTTCATTATTTAGAAGTACATGGATACATTAATAACTACTCTATTAAAGATGGGACATGCATCTCATAAGAGTTGGAGTGATCATGACCTCGCCCTCTAACTGAACATGAGATAAAGGGATAGAAGGGGACTCTGCCTACCCACTTACAACCACCATAACCCTGAGTTCCCATTGTTGACATGCACAAAAGAAGAATCAAAAGAAAATAAACCACCATTAAGAAGAACAAATACCAAGAGAATGGTTAAGCTGGAACAGAAGGATATCACTAATACCTAACTTATTCAAATAACAATTAAATACCAGTTTTTTTTCAAGTAATTTTGTACAGTTCTACTTATAAGAAGTAATATGCAGTATAATTTGTAAAAGTTAGATTGGAGTATCCTACAGGCACAAAAGCACTGGAAGCAATTCCAAACAGACGCTCCTCGAGCCCCCCTATATTTTTTCATAACATAATTTCTCATACAGTTATCACAAAATCTTTCGGAATAAAAACCATAACAATTAGAGTATAAAAACCTATCAGACTTAAATTTTCAAAAGACTTTAAACCTTGTAGTTCATCAAAAATTCATAAAATTGAATTTTCGTATCAACATTTCTTGCAAGATGTCTTCATTATTACTAAACTTCCCCATCACTTGAGACATTCACCAATTCCATGACACTTAACGCTGATCCAATCAATTAGCAGTAGCTTGTGATCCAATCAATTAGCAGTAAAAGAACCACATTTTCTTGCACAAGCAGGAATAAAATAAATTTTGTTTAGAACCAACAGAAAATGAATATCCCAAACTAATATTTCGTAAATGTGATCTATGTATCAAATATATAGAAGCAACAAATCCACAGCTTTTGTGATATTGTAAAAAATATTAGAACTTGGAAGAACAATCATTGTCCAGCCTAAAAAGTTTCATGTGTGACAACCTTTCCTCCAGTTGAGAAAACAGAAAAAGAAAAAACAATACCCTTTCTCCTCTTCTTCCAAGTATCAAGATCAGCAGGTACAAGTCCCTTTCCCATTATTGGCTCCAAGATATCTGCAAGAATTCCCTGCATATCACAATAACAAAACAAGTAAGGAACATGATGCTTAGAAGTTGGCTATGCACGAACTCTCAAATTTCATAGTTGCAAGAGTACAAACCTCACAATAATACGAGGATATAAAATGCAAGTTTAATGAGGGGAAAGTATACAATAACACCCAATACCTTTGGTACAAGGTGGTCACTGAGGTTTAAGAAAACGGATGGGTGTCGGATAAGAGAATCGACGGATGGGATCAGAGAATAGATAAAATCGATAATTTTTATCTCAAATTTTTTTTCAAAAAATTATTAGAAATTTTTAAAAATAATGTTCTTTTAGTTTCTAAAAGAAATTAAAAGTAGTGCATTATGTACTTTCATTACTTTGTAAAAATAAGTGAATAGTTAGAATCTGAGATGTTATTTTTATGTCTAGATGTCGGTTGCGTTAACCATTCATTTATATCAGTGACATTAATTTCAATGTTATGATATTAAAAAATCTTCAAAAAATATTTTTCCACTAGCAATTAGAAAATAGCTCTATTAAGAATTTTATAAGAGGTTATTACAATTTTTTGAAATCTGGTTTTTTTTGGGTTTTAGAAAAAAAGAGTGGTATTGCATTAGAGTTTTTATTAGTTTATTGAAAATGCATAAGTACTAAAAACTTGTATCGTATTGTAGTGTATGTTATCCATTAAATTAATTTTATAGTCAAATAAAATATAAAATGCAACTCATTGCAATAAAAAGAATCTCTCTTACTCAAATTTACAGTGAAAAAAAAAGAAGTGCATAATAACTTTGGACCTTTTGATTAATAGAGAGAAAACAAAGGTACGACCCTCAAAAAAACTAATTCTAATATGTAATAATTAGTATAGACAAAAAATATAGAATTTAAAAAACTCAGGTTTGCAGTCATATTTTAATAAAATTAAAATAAATAAATAAATTCATATTTACAATATGGAATAATAGATAAAGCAACTTGAAAATAAATTATGAAGTGGGTGTAAGGATTAAAGGTGCCCTATGAACTATTTTTTTTTAATAAAAAAATATCTCACGAGCTAGTATTATTTTTTGTTTTAAAATATCCAGTAAACTAGTATTAAGTTTTACTTTTTAAATGTGCCATAAACTAGTATTAGTTTTTTAGTTTTTAAATATCCCTATGAGCTAGTATTACTAACCCTATACTTCAATGGTCGGACTTTATTTACCCCAACAAGTGTTTCTAATTTTTTGGACACTAAATTTAGATTTCCAATTTATTGAATAATGTGGAACAATTTATGCGGGAGAAAGAGAAGTACACATATGTCTTGGATGACTTTTTGGTGGTAGTACACCACGTTTTTCTTAACCAAAAAAAGTGTAGGTTAAAAGGTGGAAAATCACTTTTTGGTGGTAGTACACTACGTATCTTTGTTAACAAGAAAAAAAAAGTAGGTCAAAAGGTCGAAAATATGACATCATCACTATTGATGTGTCTAAAAAATGTCAATCAAAAGGTAGAAAATGTGATGTCATGACTGATGATGTGTCTGATTAGTGATGTCACAAAACTGGTTCCTGATGTCATCAATCGATTTCGTAATATTTTTAGTAAAAAATAGCCGGATCCTATTTTGTAGATAGATAACGAACGATCCAGCTGATACTCGATTTGGATCGGCCAATTTCGGATTGGATCACCAAGTTTTTAAACATTGATCTTGACCATTAAGGATGTAAAATTGGGTGAATGTAATTATTTTATTCATCAAGCTCAAACTTCAAAAAAAAAATTTCTCTAACTTTGTGACAAATAAAGATATTGTGAAATTTCACATCGAATGGTTGTAAGTAATTATGACCACTTGTATTAAAGGTAAATGGTCTCATTGTATACAATCCCTTAATTATAATAGGGGCAAATACGAGGAACTTAATATTTTCTGAATGGATACTGAATTAGTTCCATATTGATGGTAAAGAAATATAAAAAGAGTTCATTTTCAATATCTTGGATCGATAATCTAGAAAAATAGAAAAAATGAGGAAGGGCGAAGTAAATATATACAACAGGAGTTTTATGTAAGTGCCACACACCTATGAAGCTGAAGGGCAAGTTCTAAAAGATAGTTGTGAGTCCAACTTTGCTTTTATGGGGCAAAATGTCAAACATTCAAGAAACAACATAACTATAGATTGAGTGTAGATGAGATGAGATTGAGTGTAGATGAGATGAGGATGTTGAGATGGATGAGTGACAAGACAATAAGGGATAAAATTCGAAGAAAATTTATTAAGGAGAATTTAGGTGTGGCACTAATAGGCGATAAGATGAGAAAATGTAGACTTTAAGTGAGCTGACCATGTATAACGCAAACCCAGTACAACACCTGTTAGAAGATGCAAGTTAGTTCAAGTAGAGTAGTGAGAAAAAATATAGGGACATAACCTGACTAGGGGTATGACTCTTAATAAAGTAGAATGATAGATCAGGATTCGTGTAGCCAACCCAATTAGTTAGGAATGGCTTTGACGATGATGCTGATGGAGAAGAATTGAACCTAACCCTTGACATGATTGAACTGAAATACATGAACAAAACTTTGGAAGTAAGATGAAGTGTGGTATTAACCAAAGGGAAAAGTTAATATAGGGTTGATGCTCTAAACAATCAAATTAGAGCCCACCTAAAAAAATCACAAGAAGATTTTTTTTTTATGCTCAAATATCTTCAAATTGATCATCTCGACATCAAGATGCATGGATATGAGAAAAAAAATGAATTTTAAGGTTTAGAAATAGTGCATCTTGCATCACATTTTTTGACTGTCAATTTTCAAGACTTTTTAAGTTTTTATAGATCTGCTCAATCTACACTATTTTTTAAGCTTTAAATTTTATAATTAAATATGAGAATATATTTTAAGGCTATCACAAAGATTTGCAGTATGGAAACCACATTTCTCGACACTATCTGAAGGTACGCTTTACTTTAATTGTTTAGAGCCTTGACTCTATACAAACTGCAGCCTTAACCAAAAAAAGAAAAAAAGAAAAAGGGAAAAGAAAGAAGAGGATGTGCCTTACGCATCAACTCGACAAGTTATGTATATGTGTATAATTATGCACGTTTGCATGCACACACACGCACGTGCACAGACAAATAATTAATAGTTTGACACTTAGAATCATTGTGTGGGTAAATATTCATCTTTTTTATAATAACGCACTCCTAAAATCTTATTTAACCCCAAGGCTTGTGAAGAAATTATGGTCTTTTCACATGCCTACAAACAACCACACACATGCACGCACAGA